ACTAGTGGGCAAATCCCAAATTAGGGGTCATAGTTACATCATTTAAAAACTGACATACAAAAAAATTTCTTCTCTCAGAGTTGTGAACATCTGGAATTATCTGCCACAGAGAGTTGCAGAGGCTAGATCAATGAAAGTATATAAAGAGAAAGTAGATAGATTTTTGAAATATCATTTTGAGGGATATGAAGAGCAATGTCCCTTCTCTGCCTCACAGCCGCTCCAAGAAGGCATTGCCTTCTTGTTTAGGAAGTTGCTGCTGCACACAGACATTGGAGGTCCATGCAACAAAAAAAATTACAGGGATTATTGACGAAGAGTTAACATGAAAGGGAAGTGGAGACCTGTATTTCAGCCATGACCTGATTGAATGGCATGGCAATTTTGAGGGGCTGAATGTTCATCGGATTCATTTGCAAAAGCAACATATGGTGTGACACAATGAGAACTAATAAACAGTGCTCATTTTAATAGACTCTGTTTTTTAACCAGTAGAGTTTGGGTAAGTGCATGTTTTGAGAGATGAAGAAACATGTTTATTATGTTCAGTTGCTAAACACTGGAATACATTTTTAGCTGGGCTAAAGCTGGGTAAGGCGTTTCACCACTGGCATCTTGTAAAATGACAAGTGCTGTAGCCTGCTCACCAATTTCAGCTCATTTTTCTCATCTTTTGGAGAGTGTTTCTCAATCTGGGGTACACTGCTCAGATACTGGTTGCGCTGTCCACTCCTCACTCAAGTGGCTATTTTTGACTTGCAATACTACGGGACTGAGGGGTCATTAAAGTGTTTCACAATAAGGTTTCAAAGTCAAGCTGGGCACTATTCATCCAACACTTGAACTCGCACACGCGCATGACTGGGTAACAATAAAGAACAGATCTTTTGTCATCTCAACCAAGGATCAGAAGGGTAACTGTCGTCTCCTCACCACCATTTAGTTAATGAAATATAAATCAGCTTCAAACAGAATATTCCTAGCTTATACTGGCTTAGGCCCAAGCAACACAGTGCATTCAGTTACTGAGCTATCAGGAAAGCCTTAAGGTACTTACTGTTTCCAACAGATTCATACTCAGTCATCAGAAATATAGAACATAGAACATAGAACATTACAGCGCAGTACAGGCCCTTCGGCCCTCGATGTTGCACCGACCTGTGAAACCAATCTGAAGCCTATCTAACCTACACTATTCCATTATCATCCATATGTTTATCCAATGACCATTCAAATGCCCTTAAAGTTGGCGAGTCTACTACTTTTGCAGGCAGGGCATTCCACGCCCTTACTACTCTCTGAGTAAAGAACCTACCTCTGACATCTGTCCCATATCTATCACCCTTCAATTTGAAGCTATGTCCCCTTGTGCTAGCCATCACCATCCGAGGAAAAAGGCTCCCACTGTCCACCCTATCTAATCCTCTGACCATCTTGTATGTCTCTATTAAGTCACCTCTTAACCTTCTTCTAACGAAAACAGCCTCAAGTCCCTCAGCCTTTTCTCATAAGACCTTCCCTCCATACCAGGCAACATCCTGGTAAATCTCCTCTGCACCCTTTCCAATGCTTCCACATCCTTCCTATAATGCGGTGACCAGAACTGTACGCACCAAGTGCGGCCGCACCAGAGTTTTGTACAGCTGCACCATGACCTCATGGCTCTGAAACTCAAACCCTCTACCAAGAAAACCTAACACACCGTACGCCTTCATAACAACGCTATCAACCTGGGTGGCAACTTTCAGTGATCTATGCACATGGACACCGAGATCTCTCTGCTCATCCACACTACCAAGAATCTTACCATTAGCCCAGTACTCTGTATTCCTGTTACTCCTTCCAAAGTGAATCACCTCACACTTTTCCGCATTAAACTCCATTTGCCACCTCTCAGCCCAGCTCTGCAGCTTATCTATGTCCCTCTGTAACCTGCAACATCCTTCCGCACTATCCACAACTCCACCGACTTTGGTGTCATCCGCAAATTTACTAACCCATCCTTCTACGCCCTCATCCAGGTCATTTATAAAAATGACAAACGGCAGTGGCCCCAAAACAGATCCTTGAGGTACACCACTAGTAACTGAACTCCAGGATGAACATTTCCCATCAACCACCACCCTCTGTCTTCTTACAGTTAGCCAATTTCTGATCCAAACCGCTAAATCACCCTCAATCCCATGCCTCCGTATTTTCTGCAATAGCCTACCGTGGGGATCCTTATCAAACGCTTTACTGAAATCCATATACACCACATCAACCGCTTTACCCTCATCCACCTGTTTGGTCACCTTCTCAAAGAACTCAATAAGGTTTGTGAGGCATGACCTACCCTTCACAAAACCGTGTTGACTATCCCTAATCAAATTATTCCTTTCTAGATGATTATAAATCCTATCTCTTATAATCCTTTCCAACACTTTACCCACAACCGAAGTAAGGCTCACTGGTCTATAATTACCAGGGTTGTTTCTACTCCCCTTCTTGAACAAGGGGACAACATTTGCTAGTCTCCAGTCTTCTGGCACTATTCCTGTAGACAATGATGACATAAAGATCAAAGTCAAAGGCTCTGCAATCTCCTCTCTAGCTTCCCAGAGAATCCTAGGATAAATCGCATCTGGCCCAGGGGACTTATCTATAGAGCATGATTACTTTAAAATTAAATATAATATAAACAATGAAGTTACTGAAATAAATATTCCTTTGGACTTTTACTCTAAATTGTAAAATGGAAACAAGCTTCAGTAAACTTTTACAAATCTATTTGAAGGCTCATATCCTGTATATGATTTTACTTTGAATGAAATAATCTAGCATATCCTTCCAGGTTCAGATGTTAAAATTGGAATAAATAGTAGCCATTGTTTGGGTGCCAAGGGTATTCCTTGGGAAACATAAGGGAATCTGATGCCCACTCATGCACTTTCACAATAAAATATGCCAAATACAATCTTGGTATGGCCACAAGCATGCATGCAGTTACATCTTCTGGAAATGTGCATGTGAGGCACATCAGGATGTCATTAATAATATCATTTGATGAGTATATTAATCGTCCAGCCACCGCCCTCTCCTTACATTACTTAGCTGAATGCGTCCCAAACAGCAAGGAGAATGGGGCATTGCCAATCAGAGTCAACTTATCTCTTCTCCTGTAGAATAAATAGTTGTAATCTTTTGAAACTTGGCAGTCTTACATTTGACCTGATGAAAGCAAGATGACAAGCTTCAGTGACATGAGTCTATTCAGCTGATAATTAGTATGATAATTGGCCAGACTACACTTCGACCATAGACTATAGGAACAGAATTAGGCTATTCAGTCTACCATGTTTGCTCTACCATTTGATTTTGGCTGATATGTTTCTCAATCCCATTTTCCTGCCTTTTCCTGTATTCCTTGATCCCCTTACTAATCAAGAACCTAAGTATCTCTGTCTTAAAAATTTGCTTGTACGTTCACTCTTTAACTTTTACTAAATAAAATTTATGATTTACTAATCACTGCAGGATATTGTTACAGCAAGCAGGCAGAAACTTGTATTGTATTTGTAGTAATTTGAAAATACTGTCTCACAACTCTTAATTTGTTTTATTTTCTTCCTTGTGTAACTCTTCACATCATACACCTACGCTAGCTAAACCAAGAGCTGCTGGCTAGTTCTTGACCTTCAACTAACACGATTTAAAGACTATGCAACCACCAGGTTCACAGAAGGAGCTTGGCTGGCACTTGGAATCTTCCTACATTATGTTGGGACGAGCATCTTGTCTGTACTCACTGCCATCCAGCAGTTTTATTGAATTATGTGGATTACAAATTCCCTGCACAAAGTATTATTGATACTAAACCAAATCCAGCCAATGACAAAACATGCTGGAGTTTCAATGCAACACCTATTTAATTCTTAATGCCATATAACACAACCTTTTCAAACTGGTGAGTCAAAAAATAACAGACTAATCACTTACTGGCTCAATATTCATTTCTTAGATTTCTAATGCCGAAGATACTGATACTGAACACAGAAAATTAATGTGATCATCCATTTAGTTTTCAATTGAGAGGAATAAATGTCATTTAAAGAAAGTATCATAGTTAAAATTTGGTCAGAGGAGCAATGACTGAAGTCAGGACTGTAAAGTGCCCTTTAAATATCTCAGTACAGAGAAAGCAGTTGCACCAATAGTTAATAGAATGAGTTCCACCCTGAAGTAGTAGTGATTATAAATTGTAAGCAGGTCATTAAACTTGGGAGATATCAATCATTGCACCAGTCATACTTCCAGTCCCAGGTGACTGTGACTAAATTGATGGTCCTGGTCTACAGTTCATTTCTAAGATCTAAAGGCACCCCATTTCTGACTTAAACTCTGAAAATAAATTACTAGTAGTTTATTGTGCCAACAGCTTTCACTAATAGAACATTTCTCTTTCAAAAGAATCAACCACTATCCAACCCAAAATAATTGGGGTCTTATAGATACTTAAATTCTAGTCACATGAGAGCAGCTAACCACACAGTGCAGTAATGTACTAACATGCAGTATCATAGAATAACAAAACAGGAGCTTGTTCCTCATACCGGGAATTCCTAATTTCTGCATGACCATTGCAAAAGACATAGCAGTGTACAATGTTCTTGCATAAAGCAGGAAACAGTTTTTAAGTTGTCTAGAATTTGCAAGTTAGTTGCAATACTTCATGATTTGTGTAACTGTTATTGGCAATCAATACATCAAAAAAAACCACACATATTTACCTCCTAGGTTTAATTCTACTTATCATATAAAAAATAACTGTGGACATTTTGATGTTCAAAAATTTAAAAAAAAATAGCTATTTCCTCTCAGCAGAAGACAATCTGTAGTAGAAGTGTTTAAAACAGCTGGATAAGAACTGCCAGAGAATAACAGAAGGTTCTTGTCATCAGGGTATAATTGACTTAGTCACAGTAAAGGATTATGAAGGATGGACTGCAAAGCACACCAACCGCTTTGTAAGGTCTGTTTGCCTCCAGAGAGCACTCCACTGGGCAGCATACCGGTTGGAGTCAGGCCCTTTAAAGTTAAAACACTCTCACTCTCCTCTCTGAAAAAGAAACAAAATAATTGTGATTTTTCATTGTTATTCATCAATATGCTGGTTTTTTTTATTTCAAGCCTATTTATATTATAAATTTGAAGTGTAAAATTAAATACAGTGACAGCAGAGATTAAAAAGTAATGCCCACTCATGGAGCTGGATTGTACGGTCATAAGTCACCTGAGCTCCTCATCCACACTGTCACGACACAAAAACAAAACAGGACATGAAAAAGACAGGTCAGCACACAGTGCTACGAGCCTCTTATATCAGAAAGGTTAGTGGACCTCATGGTCTACTTTGAAATTACTAACTACTGAGCTTATTAATGATCCAATCACAGCAATTTTGCACAGCATTTTTAATATGTTGGATATGGAAAAAATTGGGAGTATTTTACAATAACTAAGAAAAGGTGGAGCAACAGTGGGGAAACAAAAAAATCCTGCCACTGGGAACATATTTGAAAGTAACAATATATTCTGCTGGTGAAATGGAAGCTAATTTGAGATTCTTTTTTAAAGAAAACATTTTGCAGCTTGCCAGCGGAAATAACGGAAGAGTGAACAAGGTGCTTTTGAATTTGTAGTCTTGACTGATGTCCTGTCATAAAGGTATAAGCCTGTTTTTGCATGACACAAGAATGTAACACAAGCAGACCAGAACTGGGAACAAGAGTAGGCCATTCAGCCCCTGGAGCCTGGTCTGCCAATTACTAACATCATGGCTGATTTCATTGAGGTCTCAACTCTATCTATCTCTACCTATCTCTCCAAGCCCACCTTCTCCAGATTACACTTGTTTGTTGATCAACAATCTAACTCAGCACTGAATATTTTCAATGATCAACCTCTACTGCTCTCTGCAAAAAAAAATCCACAGATGAAAGAGCACTTGAGAAAAGGAAAGATTCTCCTCCTTCCAGTCTTAAATAGGGGATTTCCAAATATTTAATTTGTGCCCCTTAGCTATAGGGATCCACACAAGGGATATACAAACCTATAAAATGTGCACATTCGCTCAGCATTCGCCCTGTCAATTCCCCTCACAATCTTATATGTTTCAATAAGATCACCCTTCTTTCTTCTGAGCTCCAAATGCAGAAACGTCCCTCATAAGATAATCCTCTCATCCCATAAATCAGTTGAACAAACTGCTGAGCTGCTTCTGATGCAATTTTGTAATTTTTTAAATGAGGAGATCAAAACTGCACACAGCATTCCAGATGTAAAAGCACTAAGACACTATACAGCTACAGCAACACTTTTCTACTTCTTTACTCAATTCCTCTTACAATGAGTTAGCTCAGTTGGCTGGACAGCTGTTTTGTCCACGCTAACTGCATGGGTTCAATTTCCACATCACCTGAGGTTACCGTGAAATGACTCTTCTTCTCCAAACTCTCTGTTCACCTAAAGCGTGGTGACGCTGAGGTTAAACCACCACTAGTCATCTCTCCCTAATGAAAGACTTCACCTTTATCATGGAGACAGCTGCATACTAAAAAGTATAGCAGCCTTCAAACAGAAGCAGTTTTTATTGCTGGGATTTCCACTGGTGCTTGTTGCTTTACTATTTCTTGACGTAAGCCTGACAGCCATCAGTATAACATTATTTCTGCTTGACTTTCCACAAACCTTTCATTGTCAAATTTGATCACCTGTAAGTTTGCTATTTATTGACAGCTCCAAGTTGTTTTTAGGAGATTAGTTGCCTTTGATTTGGAGCTATGAATACAAACATTTGTTTTCAGAAGAAAGTGAGTATTTGTGGAGATTTTAATGTACTGAATGGGCTTTCACAAACAAGAGATTTATATGCAGTGACATCTGAACTAAATACTTTGGACTTTGTTTTATTTTATTTCAGCATGGTTTTTCAGGTCTGCCCATGGTGGATACTGGATGAGCTAACAAAGTGGTTCTGTACTAACTTGGCACAGGGCTACAAAAGGCCATGGGAGTGGTTAGGTGGCATACATTTGTACAGAGGGTAGGTGAGGGCGCTGGGGGACACAAAGAGTATGGAGGACCATGGATAGTTGGCGTGGAAGCATAGGTTGGCATGCAGGGAGTGAGGGACTACAGGGGTGGGGGGTCATTGGGCAGAGGGGCAGTAAATTGCCAATTTTCGAGCATGGAAAGTGTGTTAGAAGATGAAATGATGGGAGGTGTAATGGCTAGAGAGCCATTTTTGTTTTGTTGATTTTATTGAAACAGGAATGAAGCAGAAAGCCAGGGTGGGACATTTAATTAGCCCAGCCACACCACGTACAGCTCCTTCTGCACTGTTTTGGGATATAGCAGACCTAACTCCAGTCAGCATCTGTCAGCTTGCCAAACCATCCCCACCCCAATCACCAGCACCACCACCCGATCTAATTGAAAATCCATTCAGTCAGTGTACTAACCCCAGGGGTAGGTGATGGCCTAGTGGTATAATCCCTGGACTGTTAATCCAGATAACATCCTGAGGACCTGGGTTTGAATTCCACCATCTGCTGTGGTGGGATTTGAATTTAATAAATATCTGGGATTAATAATCTAATGACAACTATGAGTCGATTGTTGAAAAAACTCATCTGGTTCACTAATGTCCTTTATGGAAGGAAACTGCCACCTTTGTCTGGACTACACATGACTCCAGACCTGCAGTAATGTGCTTGACTCTTAGTTGCCCTCTGGGCAATTAGGGACGGGCAATATATGCTGCCTCGCCAGCGATGCCCTCATCCTGTCGATGAATTTTTAAAAATGTTAGGTTTGCTAAGTCAGAAATTTTCCCGACTCTATTCCCAAATTTGAGGGTGGGGAGGCAATGGCTATTGGTATTATCGCTAGACTGTTAATCCAGAGACCAAGATAACATAATGGTTTCAAATCCCGCCACGGCAGATGGTGGTATTTGAATTCAATAAAATATCTGGAATTAAGAATCTAATGATGACCATGAATCCATTGTCGATTGTCGGAAAAACCCACCTGGCTCACTAATTCCTTTAGGGAAGGAAACTGGCCTACATGTGACCCCAGACCCACAGCAATGTGGTTGACTCTGAACTGCCCTTCGGGCAATTAGGGATGGACAATAAATGCTGCCTGGCCAGTGATGTCTTCATCCCGTTAATGAATATAAAAGCAAAAATTTGGTCTATATGTTTTCTTAACTCTATTTATTTATCTACTTATCTTTGTTTCAACAGCAAACCAAGCTGCCATAAATTTGAGATAACAAGGTGTCGAGCTGGATGAACACAGCAGGCCAAGCAGCTTCAGAGGAGCAGGAAAGCTGACATTTCTGGCCTAGACCCTTCTTGGCCTGCTGTGTTCATCCAGCTCTACACCTTGTTATCTCAGATTCTCCAGCATCTGCAGTTCCTACTATCTCTGCCACAAATTTGGTTGCTTCATTTGAGTCATTGGTATGGATTGTAAATAAATGAAGCCCATGAACTGATTATGTGGCACTTCCATATTCTAGGCTTGCTAACCCAAAAATGACGCATTATCTCCATCCTCTGCTTCCTGTTGGCTAACTAATCCTATATCTATGTTGATATGTCATCCCTTATATCATGAGTTCCTTTTTTTTGTGAAGTAACATTTGATGTATTACCTTGCCAAATGCATTTGTAAACCTACATACACCATATGTAAATGTTCCCCTTTATTCACATTGTTACCTCCTCAAAGATCTCTAATAAATTAGTCAAGCTCAATTTCCCTTTCACAAAGCTATGTTGATTTTGCCTGATCACATGAATTTCTAACTATCCTGCTGTAGCTTCTTTAATAATGGATTTTAGCATTTTCATTGGGGCAGATGTTTGGCTAACTGGCTGACAGAAAGCAGGAAAATGTGTCCCTCCTTTCTTGAATAGCTATTTTTGTGATTTGTTAATTGGCTGGGTCCTTTCCTGAATTGAGGAAGCTTTGGTGTATTGCAATGAGTCCCTCTGCTATTACTGCAACTCCTTAAATTTTAAGATCCTAGGATTCAGCCAATGAGATCCAGGAGAACTGTCAGCTTTCAGTCCTAATCATTTTCTCGATGCCCTTTCCCTAGTGAATACAATTGTTTTATGTACCGCCCCCCTTCCTTTCACTTCTTGATTTTAACGTATTTTTGAGATTTGTTTGTGCCTTCGACAGTGAAGACAGATATAAAATACCTGTTCAATAATTCTACCATTTCTTCATTGCCCTCTATTAATTCCCTGGTCTCATTCTTTAGGGGACCAACACTTACTTTAGCTACAGAGATAATAGGAACTGCCATTGCTGGGGAATCTGAGATAACAAGGTGTAGAGCTGGATGAACACAGCAGGCCATGCAGCATCAGAGGAGCAGGAAAGCTGTCGTTTCGGATCTAGACCCTTCTTCAGAAAACTTACTTTAGCTACATTTTTTTCCTTTTAAATTCTTATAAAAACTCTTACGATCTGCTTTTATATTTCTAGCTAGCTTGCTCTCATACTCTGATTTCTCCTTTTTTAAGTCATTCGTTGTTTGTTTCTAAAAAGCTATCCAGTCTTTTGACCTACCTCTAATCTGTACAGTATTATATATTTTTTCTTTTAATTTGATACTAACCTTAACTTACTTATTTAGCTATTCACGGCACATTCTTCTCATATAATCTTTTATTTCTTAAAGGAGTACAATTTTGCCATGAAATGGCTCTTTAGATATCTGCCATTCTTCTCTATCTCCAATCTCTTAACCTGTTTACCCAGCTATTTCAGCCAAATCTGTTCTCACACCTTGCAATTGTCTTTGTTTAAATTTAACATAAGCTTTAGACTCACACTTCTCACCCTCAAACTGAATTTGAAATTTAAAATGTCAGAATCAGTTTTGCCTAGAGGCTTCTTCACTATGAGATCATAAACACATTTTGTTTCATTGCATAATAGCAGGTCTAAAATTGTCTCGTCTCTGGTTGGCGTTAGAATGTACTGCTCTTATAAACTTGTCCTAAATAAACACTATGAATTCATCTTCCA